TACGTACCTACTTTTAAGTGTGTATTCCAACAGCTACAAAACTTATTACCATGCAATTCAATAGTAAATACATTGATTTTTTTTTACAGAGCTTGTTTATGATATAATTTATAATAGATAGATTACACAGATAGATTTGCGTCCTGAGACATGTAATTGATAATTGTAATTAAGTAAACTAGAGGTCCCGCAGTAGTCGAGATTCGACTATAATTAATTGGAATTGTACACTATTATGGCTGTATTTTATACTTCTATAATCACATATTTCGCCAAGACTATACTATAAAAAATACAAAGACAAACAATATTTAATCTATTCTCAATTTGACCACAGACGTCAAGAACAACAGTTTGACAATAAATAGTATGCATACGTGTGTGCGTCAAATACATGGTATGTAGTGTGTGTAATGTTTTCTTTATTGATTTAATGTATCTTTTATGCATTATTTTAATAAAATATTAGCATTGTGCACTTCTTCTCTATATTCTCTATAAGTTTTTCCATACTCCTCCGTCCGCGCAATTTTCGTAAAAAGGGATACAAAGTTTTTGCTTCACGTATTAATATATAGATGGTATTGACAGTAAACTAGTTTGCGAGGTCTATTTAAAGTCGTACACTAAACTTCGTTATCTGGCGTGTTACGAAAATCAACAGTATTCACATGCAATTAAAGAAACTTTCTTTTTTTGTCTGAGAGATTACTGGTGGCCCTTTCTAGTTTTACCAGGGCAGGTGGGCGAGCAAGGGCTCAGCCAGGAACGGTGGGATTTGCTAACAGCTACCCGAGCACCTCCAAAGGAGACCTAACAACTCAAGAGTAGCTGCTTCGCGAATGAATCTACTACCGGATCGGAATCGCGACCCGCTGAGAAGACCCGGCGCGAAACTCAGCGGGCTGATGCATGGGTTAGGTTGCACGTCGAATTCTTTGTCGAGTTCGACGAGTACGGTTACCGGGGTCCCTAAGCCTGCTCCTAGTGTTAGAGCTGAAGGCGTCTAATGCAAAGGATCTGATGGATCCGTAAGGACATGAAGAAAAACATCAAACGTGATAGACAACAAAAACATTTATTATTTCCGATTGCAATGACCGTCGAATTTGAGTTCAAGTTTACGCTCCAGGCCAGGATATCATCATACGGTGAAAAATTTATATTACGGCAGGGATTTTAGAATCGTTGGGTTTGGTAAATTATTAAATGCAACTACTTATAGATTTCATTAAAAATAAATTCTTTGAAGAATCATAAAAATTCATATTGGTATCAGAATAAATGTATAAGAACATCTGGCTATCTCTCTCGCACTACCGCAGTATAATAGCGATGACGTCATTTATCGTGTAATTTTTGTTATTTGACCACTACACTCTCAGACGCTAAAACGAACACTATTAAACTTCAAATACTATAGCATCATAAAAAAAAGTAATCATTTTTAAAGTTTTAATCTAAGTACATGAATAATAATGAATAGAACGACGTATAATTTTGGGAAACATCTGTGCAAACTATCATGGAAATGGAATTAATGAGGATGCAAGATAAAACTAGGTCTGGCGGATGAAATATTGATCGTACTCTACATTAACCCTTTTAGTGCTGAGCTTATTATCAGATATTTTGCTAAAGAATTTTTAAGTGAAACTGTTTAGGCGCGTTGAGAGTAAAATTTAACTCCCGACAGATTTGTTACGGCTAGAGAGAAAAGATACAATTTAGAAAGAGAGAGAGAGAGAGAGACAAAATAGTCAGAGCGTCTCGCGAACCACTCGACTGTGGAGAGAGGGGAAGGACAAAGCGAGCTAGGTCGTTTCTCTTATACACAGCATTCCTTATTAAAAAGAGAAATTTGATTTAAGGGTTAAAAATGAATAAAACCACAATACTACACACCGCTAAGTTCACTTCTTTCGCGTGCAACAAGTTGCAAGCGCACCATATTTTGAAAATAAAGTACCTTATTAATTAAGTGAGCATGGAATTTTAATTATTTTCATCTTCACGATAAGAGGATCACAGGTGTTAAGCAATAAAAGCGCATAAAACTAAACATAAACTTTAAGATCGTGAAAATTCAAGTACTAATGTGTCATAGACGGGATGAAAATGTCTACAAGATTTTAGTTCTTATCTGTCAATACAAAAACTCAAGCGATCGATGTTTAGAGATGAAGAGTTGACGGGAGAATAGCACTAAAGTTCCTCAGGGGACAGGATCGACCGTGTTGGGGAAAAATTCCGCCCAGCCTCTCAAACACTAGACGGGATAGAAGTAAGCAGTGGCTGTGCCCATGGCATTGCCGACATCTTTGAGCTACGAAAACCACTCAAATAAATAACAAGTTTAAAAAAACTCTTTAATGTTAATTAATAACTATTCTCATTTCTTAGCTCTGGTAGAAGAGAATTCTTAAAGAAATTACATATTTTTTTAACCATTGTTATAATTTTGTCTACAATAAATGACTAATAAAAAATAAATCGTTAATTTAACACAATTAATTAGTTAAAAAAGGCATGTGTTATTCAATGATTTCCTTACTGGCTATAATGAAAGCGTCTCAGGCGGTAAACAGCTTGTATTATTTTGCTTTGAATTCGATATATCGCGTGCGTGTGTTCAATTGTATTATTCTATACGTTATGGTCGTGAAATGTATCGCTTTTGTGATGTAGATGAGAGAACATCTTTAAATCTACAAATTTTTTTTATTATATTACACGTAACGTTAAAAACATTTCGACGGGCGACGGCTATTTGGTTTAAGCGACATTTTTGCAACTTTACATGAGAATTATTTAAAGTTTAAAATTTGGAAAAAAATCATAAGAAAAAAAAATACATACTTCATATATTTTAATAGACTAAACTTAATCGAAGTTCAATTAAAAACATCGAACTGTTGATGCTGATACCAAACAAAACGGACTTTTCATTATAAAAATAAATGTCGCGTATTAAGCTAAATGTCGCTTAAACCAAACAGCCTTTCACCCTCGATATGATATATTTCTTGGTAGAATTGTTTAGCGTATGTACCGAAACTGATTTCATCAGCTTGTTGAAAAGATGCCTCTGACAGTTTCCCTAGTGACTATTTGAAGCCATAAGTATTTACTCCTATTTTCGCGATATAATTTTTTAATTTATTTATTTATTAGATGGGTGGACGACCTCACGACCCACTTGATGTTAATTGGTCACCTCTCTCACCCTCACTCACTGAGATATGGGTTCTAAGGTCTTAGTTTTTACAGTACAACGGCTACCCCGCCCTTCGAACCGAAACGAATTACTGCTTCACGTCAGAAATAGGCGTGCTGGTGGTACCTACCCATGCGGACCAACCAATGTTATAGGATAGTCTTTACCTAATTATTCTCTTTGTATATATTTCGAACGTTTCAAATACTTTAAAGTTTCCGTGGTCCACTTAGGGATGTTTAAAAACAAAAAGCACAAGATTAAACATTAAAGTAATTTAAATTAATCACATTGGAGGATGGCTCCTACGGCTTTATCATCTTTCATCAGCAGATGTGTCAGCGAGTGAACTGTGCTTCACAATCTCATCCTTCCTCATACTCATTCAGCCACATGGAGAATCACTGATCAAGCTGCAAGCTATATAGTTTTCTTCTAGTAGTGTTATTGCCATTTTAAGAACCAGATTTGAGATAGTCAAAATAATTTGTATTTCAGCAGCATTAAGTGTCAATTATAGTTAGCACAGCACGTGTCCCAATTATAATTCCATTTGTCTTACAGTTTTATGACTAGTCTATCTGATGCCAAACCTCTTTATTTATTTGGACCCGTATATTGAATCACATACTATCTCCAACACGCATTGGTTTCTCAGAAATAGTGAGATTCATGGATATTTAGAAATACCGACTGCTAGAGAGGAAGTCAACAAGAACAGCAAGAGATACAAAGAAAGACTAAATGAGCACTCAAATGAATTGGCAAGGTGCCTGCTAGATACAACTGGGGATGTGAAATGTTTAAGAAGATGGCAAATTTTAGAATTAGATCGAAGAAACTGCTGTAATTGATGACATTTAATGTAATGTCATCCAAAACTCGAACCCCTTGGGACACTTCTGATTATGGCTATCGAGCCGATTGCAGATAAATATAGAAAGAAAAAAAAATTGATTCAGAGGTTCATGCGTTTGGTATGTGATGAAAATTAGTGAAAAGAATTTAGTTCATAAATCAGACAAAAGTACTATAATAAACACGACGAATCACTAATACTAGTAAAGAGGCCTGGGCTGCTGATTCTTAAAAAAATCTTAGGATAGTCAAGCAGTCAAGAGTCATATAAAATCTTTTACTGGGCGTACTGAACTACTCTAGTATGGTCGGAGATTAAAAAAACCTCAACGTTGATTATCCTTCTGGCAACATTTTCTGTAAAATAGCTGTGCTTTCTAGATTTTGAATGAAATATCAGTCATTCCAACGCGACAGATACTACAATGACATGGGCAACAGTAGTTGTTCTGTGATACCCATCAACAGTGATAAAGTAAATGTGAGATTTAAAGTCTGTGGTTCAGATACAGATAGTTAAATAATTAAAATCTCACACTGTGGTTTACTTATCATAATAAGTATGTTTATGATTTATTTATTCAACTATTTGTAATTACTAATTTATCTTTCTTCTGTTCTCCTTTCATCTCTAAGTTAGTTCAGCAGCATTCAGTGCTTGTATTAATTATGTTCTGTTACTAATTGTCTTACTTCTGAGCTTTTTGCTCCAAAAGGGCTAACCGAATGGTATGTCTGCTATAGAACCAGGGCAAAAAATCAATTCTGGCCCTCCAGACTAAGATAAGCCAAGCCCGGGTAAGTTATGGCTCATGTGCTTCTTTATACAGAAAAAGGGGTGAAATTGCAGACAACAATCTCTCTGATATCAAATAACAGTTTGGGGATTAGGATTCTATAAGACAAATTCTACTAATTCACTTACCAGGTGTTAAATTTAATTTGTCTATATGGTCTCCAAGTACAGAAGCCCAGCTTTGGAGCTGGTCTAGTATACCCCATGGTGTGGTCATGGCCACAGTGAGTATAACTAGGGTGTGTGGGAATGTTTCCTCACTGAGCGCAAACTTGAGTAGATTAGTGTGACCTGGATCACCATCCAGCACCCAAACACTGAGCCGAGTGTGATCTGTGGGACAAAATACAACATCATCTTTATTAACTACTGTCTTGGATCATCAATATCATGAGTGAAATTACAGGTTCAACAATCTTCATACAACAATCTTCTAAATTTTTGTTGTCATGAGTTTGCAATAAGGATTATTTATTTAAGAAATTCAAATGCTGAAATTGCTATTTGTTACATTTAATAAAATAAATTAAAAAAATCTGTCCATTGAATTAATTACAAATGAGCATAGGGAATGCAGGGTGAATTATTTTAAACTGTTTTCCATTAAATGAGGTTTAAACAAGGATTATTAGAAAAGTAGGAATTCTGGTTCACCATTTTTTAAATATACATTATTAAACTCAGTATTCATTAGTTTCCAATTTATTAAAAACTCTTTAGTTAAGTCAAAATCAGCAGTTGCTTCAGTAAGTTTTATAGTTTTTTATTTGTCTATTAATTTAATGTCTACTTGTTACTTTTTTTCAAGCGCTACTTTATTGAGTAGTTAGGAAATTATCAATGAGCATGGTCTTAAGTAGGAAGAGAGTATCCAGAGCATGCAAATGGAAACAATTATTTCTACCAGTTGCACCCTTAGCATTACCATTTTTTAATGATTAGTGTTTACCCAATGACTGAAATTAACTTATAACCACTGATACCTAAAATTTTGATTAATTTTATGGATTACATTTTTTTTTGTTCCGTTGCTGACAATGTGAAGAAAAAACTTAGTAGTTCCAATATTATTATGATTTTTTCTTGTTTAAGAATATTAATCAATAGCTAGTAAATAGGTGGTGGATGATCACTTAACACCAGTGTAATTCTCAAAGACCATACACACCACTTAGTCTCATTAATCGCACACACAGAAAGGGATAGGCTGGTACTAATCTAAGCCCATATCACACAGCCTAAATTCCCTGTTTCAATCCAAGAACTTTTAACTATGGGAAACACCAACTTCTTTTTTGTGTGTTTATGAAGATAAATCTTGTATGGGTTCAACATAGAATCTATAGAGTATCCTGACTTTGACAAAGTAGAACGATGACTGCAGTTTTTAAATATGTTTTCTAATTTATTCAATTTTCAAAGATCATAATTAGGTATTATTAGTTTAGAATCACAGCAAATCATGATTTCCATATTCAAAGCTAGGTAAAAAAAACTCACCATCGCGATATTCATCTCTAACATCTATATACGCATATTCGAGTGCAGACCCCTTCTTTGGGTCTTCAACACCTTGCAACTTTGCCACTAGGGTAGTTTTTCCAGTTTCGTTGTCACCCAGTACTAAGACATTTTTATTTGACGGTAGTTTTGTGTTCCCTTGATTCTGGACTTCTTCTAATATAGCAGACCTGCAATACAAACACATCAAAGAGTGTCTTGTCATCAGTCGGCTGCAAGTAGCTCCATATTATTGCGAGACATTCGACCACCTTTTAGAACGTGGAATAACTCTGTATGAATATATAATACTATTATTTAGCACGAAAACATAAATACTTCATGGCTGGGTCACATATTTCTCAGGTAAAGCTTGACATCACGTAGGTGTGACACATTGGATCCCTATATGGTGAATGCATGTTACCAGTAAAACTAACTGTGAACCATTACCATAAATTATCTTTGCCGTCTCCGTTCTCTTTCTTTTTTGATTTAAGCCCGTTAGCCTGGCCATTTGTATCCATTCTTCGGGAATTTTAGAAGATAACAACGGCACAGAAAGGCTTTTTCGTTTTCGTTTCTTCTGCCGTTCATACGTCACTCGAGATGATTTTAATGTTGCTGAGCCAAAATTTTAATTACTACGATTATTTTTCCATAGCTGATTTTCCAAATGAATCAATTATTTTTTAAATGACAATATTTTTTTATTTCATAGATAGTAATTACTACTTACATTTAAAGTTATTAAAAGTAATCAACTAGTGAGTTGGTGTTCTAAATTATATTAGGTTTCTTTTCTTTCTGCCTTTTTAACGGAATTAAATATGTCAATCTTGATCTTTTTATAATTTAATCGTGATATTCGTGAAAGTAAATTAAACATAGTGGAGTATGTATTAAAAAGTAAATAAATATTTTTTGACAATTTAAACCTTCTCATGGTAGTTTTTAAAATGCTTGTAACATTGTTTATTTTTAATGCAAAAGTGTCATGTTACTATACCATTCCGTTTTCCAAGACTGTTTTCCAAATATTTATGTTTTAGTTTAATAATAAATACATTAAAATCTATTAAATAGTTCGTCGGTGACTTCTTTAAAGTCAATTCAGTGACGGCCTAAACAGAAAATAATTTATGAACAAATATTGGAAACGTTTCTTATTTTGAAATAAATTTGGAAAAACGCGCTTAGAATTAAAATCAATTTTTAATTTACTTTTTGGCTGCTTCTTTGAATGCCTTTTATCACATATCTAATAGACAACTGTAGATGTTCATTACACTGCAATTAGTATCATTCTGGAAGTTTACTTAACCATAATTTGTTTAGATTTTCATTAATTTGCCAAAAAGTGCGCACTTTTTAGTGAAGTTCTATTGAAGACTTTCTATTAGTCTACTTTGGATTAAATTGTAGTTCATTGTACCGTACAATGGGGTAAATAGGGACAAAATCGACCTTCAGATTGAATTTTAAAATAGTTCCAATTAAATAGTCACTGCTCAACCAAAGAAATAAGTTGAGTCTTGAACGTACCTAGGTGATAAAAACCGTTACATTATTTTAATTATTCATTTTAAAGAAATAATCGGTAAAATAATGGCCGTCCCAATTTACCCAGCGTCCGGGGTAAATTGACACGGTTAAGGGTTAAATTGGGATATTTGTAAGGGTTGTCAACTCGCAGTACTGCGATATATAGGTAGGTGCCATATAATTATTTATATGGACCGAAATGATGAATACAATCCATAATTTAAGCACAATACACAACATAGTGTAAATTAAGCTGGTTTCTATTCCGAAGCGATGTGACGTGAATGATAATCAACAATACAATGATCAAAAAAAGTATGTGCATGTTATATTTTAGAAAATTATTATTTAATTTCCTTAAAAATCACAACTCTGAAACAAAATCATAAAATAGAATAAAAAATAGAAAACAAAAGGACTGGAAATGCAATAATACAATTTTATTTAATCAACATTTTCAAAATAATCTTTGAGCAAGAGTAAGATATCAGGTGAATAAGATAAAAAAACAGCTTTATCTGATTACTGCCAATAATAACAAAAATAAAAGAAATTCTTTCTAAGCTAAATAACTAAACTCAATTAATTCACTCACTCATAATTGGATATCTCGGATTTTTAATTAATGTTACATTTAAAATCTGAGGCCTGTTTTTATTTGTGTGTGCGTTTTGAATGTTAACAAAATCATGATTCGACGCGTGAATAGATTCTGAAATAACAAAAGTTTTGATTCGTTTGAGTTCTTTTAACTTTTAATTTTTTTTATTGCTATAAAGAACATACGACCGGGCAGATATTACAAGGTAAATGTCGCGAAAAAAAAGTAATTATATATATACTTTTCTTTTACCTATAATACTTACATAAACTAACTGATAAACACATTAACCTTCTTTACATCACGCAATTAAGTGATAGTATAGGCTAAAAAATCTATTATAAGATATCAGTGACAACCCTAACAAGCCATCCCTATTTTGTCTTTTGGCGTTCCAATTTTGTGTTTTCTCGTCCCTAATTTTTCCAGTCTCGTTCCAAATTACCCTACATACGTCCCAATTTTCCCCAAAAAGAAAGGAAAAAATATACATTTTTTATTTTGTCGAAATATTGTATTTAAAATAAGAATATTGCAACTTACCGTTTGTTGTGGTGTTTCCAGGTGTATTAAAAACTTATATAAACTGTGATCTTATTGAAAAAACAACGATAATATTACTTTTTTTTAAAGTTTTTTAAGCTGTTTTAAAACGCACTTTTCAATCACTATTTTAAATTTAATTTGACGAATTTTTGGGACCAACTAAACTCATGTTTAGTACTTCCATAGTTAACTTGGTTTTTCTTCTATACATTGATAAATATTACCTTAAAGAAAATTAGGTAGATTCCGTGCTACAGGTACTTTGAGAATCTTCCGCAGGTTTGTCCCAATTTACCCCAGAATCCCAATTTACCCCATGTCATGGTAATCTGTAAATGGTAATGCAATGTCAAAAGTCAATGCCACTTCACTTTGGTTGTCAATTTCAATATGTCAAATCGAGGAACATACGAAAAGGAAAACAACTTTCAGTAAAAATAAAAACGCTGGTCAAGATCATTCTTCCTAATTTTATTAGTAGTAATTCTAATTAAACTTTTCTATCATTAATTTTAACATTTTCTTGTGACATTTAAAATGTTTAGAAATCAGAAACCGGCAAAAAAAGGGAATCTGTCGCAGGTGAGTCATTAAAGTCTTACATTACGTTATTTGTTTGTCCTCGGGCCCCTTCTACCGGATTTATTCCGCTATCAAGATATTAATAGCGACGAGTCACTTGTTATAAAGGATAATAATGATATTCGCGACATCCTTGTTAGAACATAATCAGTTGAATTTCATATGAGAAAACTTGTAACAAATAATGGCGAGAAAAATGAAACAATGTTATTGTCATATTTCTGACGAGAGAAATGAAACAATGTTATTGTCATATTTCTGAGAATTCAGATGTCGATTTTACTTGATATAGCTTTTAATTTTCTTTGAGACCATGTCTTTGATTGGAAGCCACATAACAGACTAACTCTAATTATAGTTACAATATATTTTCAGAGATATTTTTTGTCTTAAATTATAAAATTATAAAATTGTGGTGAGTTTCATTGGATGGCTACTACTGCCAACATCAGTTGAGAGTAGAGCCCACTTCCACTCCCACTCTTATCAGGCCTACCTTTGTCTTCTGCCTGTTTCTTGCACAGAGCAAGCGAGCTTTGATCCATTCAAGAGTTCCTATCACAAAGGCAGGCAGGGCATATATTTTATCACAATGCTCACAAAGTGGATCAACTGTCATTTTCATCGTCAAAGTGTGTGTTTTCTGATATTTTCATGTTTTGCTACAGATTTAACCTGATTATTTTCAAATTTTTATGTCTAATTAAAAATGTATCCATTGCAGTTTGGTCTGTTAGATATTCCTGATTTGGACGATGCAGATGATGAACCACTAAATTTATCTGATGATGACATTGATTTGGAAGCAGAATTGGCTGCCATTAGTGGTGGCACAAGCAGACAGAGACCAAAAAAGGCTCCACCATCAGCCAATCTCGATGCCATGATAGCTGAAAGTTTAAAGGATATACCTTCAGACGAGGATGTTGATGAAGGTATGACTTTAATAAACTAAAATATCAGTTATCAGTCGAATATCATGTACATGATATAATTATATTGCTTTAAGTAGATTACCCAATTCAGTATAACCAAACTCAGACAATTAATAATTTTGAATAGCAATTTGTACTATTTATTTTTAATCTAAATATATATATATATTCTTTTAAGGTGATGAAGATGATCCAGACTTATTGAATGAGTTAAAAAACTTAGGCCTCGATGATGAAGCTCCTCCAGCACCTCCGCCCCGCTCTTCCCGTCCAGCACCTCCCCCTCCTGGAGCTGATACTGGCATTGTGGGGGTTTTACAGGACAGAATTAATAATTATATGGCTGCAGAGAAAGATGCGAAGGAAAAGGGTGAAAGCAGTAGGGCCAGAAGGTAGTATTTGTGATGATTCAACAAATTACAACATATTCAACTAATTAGAAATAAAGTATAATAAAAAATAATTAAGCTGTGGAGTTAAAAAAAAAACTACTAGTTTCTAGTATTAGTACAGTGTACTGATAATTAATAGTTAATTGTTTTGATAGTTTGTTAGTAATTAGGCTAGATATGAATTTATGGCATATTGTATACCATAGTGGCTCTGAAATTATCTGTCCAGTTGTCTAACAGCCTTGTAAACCACAGGCTCTCAAACTTTTTGTCCAGTTTTCCATCTGCACCTGCATGGTGCACAGTGCACCATCTTTGCATACTGCAGACATTAAAATTTGTTGATGTCCCTTAGATAACTATTTCTGAAGTCTTTACAGTTATGTGGCTGAAGATAGTGAATCTAAAAATATTCTCTTATATTTTACATAACAGATTCAACCGAGGTATAAAGACTCTAAATGATCTACTAAAGCAAGCTAAAGCTGGTAAACCCATCAGCGAAGAAGATATTCCACCAGCCGTAAGTCTTGGAAAACCTGCTCATTCCACACCATCAGCACCACTCTCTGGTTCAGTACAACCACCAACAGACCCAGAGCCACTACTGATAGATCTTGGACACGAGGATCCTCCCAGTTTACCAGAACCGCAAGAACCACCGCCCAGTCTACCGGAACCAGAGGAGCCACCACTGCCTCCACCGCGAGCTGAAAGCTTACACCAAGCAGACGACACCCTCACTCCTGAGAGACAGCAGAAGCTGCAGGCAATATTGAGTAAGGATCATGATACTATTAAGGTTTAACTGCATGTGTGTGTGTGTGTTTGTTAGAGATTATTTCAACTCTAATAGCAAGTTCGGTAACAGACTCTGTAAGCGGCCAAGCGTGGGCAAGCGCGCACATTATGTTGCATACGGATGCACTTTGCGTCGGAGTCACTCATTTCCAATCAGTTCATGTACCGTCACGAGCAAGGCGTTACGTACTCGCATATGATTATGGTCATTTTTATATCATAATATCATCTGTCAGCTACTTTAAGCTTATCAATAAATAATTTCTCAAGTCACCGTATATCATTTTTTGGTCCTTCGAGCCGAATTCGAATTTATGGATGTACAGAAAAATGCATTTGTATGCAGCATTATGTACGCGCTGCTCCGTATAGAAAATAACTCAAGTGTGCACCTAACTAATTATTCTATTATTACGCTTGTGAAACAGAACGTCAAGCAGAGTTTAAAACGGCGGCGTTGCACTGTAAAAAATCGGGGGATAAAGCATTAGCACTCGAGTTCCTGAAGACAGTAAAGCAGTTCGATGTTCTGGTGACTGCTTTCAAAACGACCACCGAGGGGATGGACTTCGATTTAGCCGATTTACCTACTTTGGAGTCGGTCGCCGCGACCCTCAAGAGTCCAAAGGCCGATGAACAAATGCAAAATTCCGGAGGTAGGCGTGTTGCATCTATTTGTTACTTTTTTTCAGTGGACGCGAGTCCATCTTGGGATCGGCATGTAGGTGGCAAAAAAACTCTTTAAACACAAAGTATATCATTTGTAATAATTCCTTGGAACATACGGGCCCACCTGATGATGAGTGGTTACAGTCGCCCATTGACTTCAGCAATACCAGGGGCAGACCCAAGTCTCTGCCTACCGTTTAATACTCTCCACAAGCCTCGTTTAAAGAAGGACATGTCATAGCGCTCGGGAAACACCGTGGAGGGGAGCTCATTCCAAAGTCGGATGGTACGTAGCAGAAAATATCTCTGGAAACGCGCTGTGGATGAACGCAGTGGCTCTAGGTAGTATGAATGAACTCTACCCTGGTGGCGGGCGGTGTGATGGCCAAAACGAAGTGTTGGTACCACTCAGAGCACTCCCCTACATGCTACTTGTGGTACAAGAAACATAAATTCTGGTATTTCTTTTGATGAGTTCAAAACCTGTCTAAACTGGTGAAAAGCTAATGTATGACAGAATCGAATTTTCTCAGGTTTACGCGAGTCGGTGACACAATCAAACGTACGTTTACGGTCTAAACTCGCATTTTTTTGTTTGTTTTTTAAACGAGAGATTAAACCGTAAAAGTAGATTTAATTAAGACAGAATCGGACTTAAAAAAAAATTGATTTATATTGTACTAGCGACCCGCCCTCGCTTCGCTTCGGAAACTGTAATTTATTATTGATATCTTCACTATTTAATGGATGTTATTATACATATAAACCTTCCTCTTCAATCACTCTATCTATTGAAAAAAAACGCATAAAAATCCGTTGCGTAGTTTTAAAGATTTAAGCATACATAGGGATATAGGGACAGAGAAAGCGACTTTGTTTTATACTATGTAGTGATGCCTAGTAAGGACTGATGACACTCTTTTTTCATTTGACTTTCTCTTTTCTATGTACACACACGCCGGATCCTATTGTCTCATTACGCGTATTGTTGTATGAATATTGTTAACGTGGTTGCGTGAATTTTGACGCCAGAACCAACACCAGCGTCGACTCCAGCCTCCACGGAGCTGATCACCGCCTCGACGGTGGAAGAAGCTTTACGACAGAGGCTAGCTTATTTTCAGGTAACTACAGATATTGGAGGCGATGTGGAACTTATTAAATTATTAAAATACATTTCAGAAGACCGGGTACCATCGTGAAGCTTCTTGTGGTGGTGTTAGTTTAGGAGTAGAAAAACGTAACGCCTGTGTCGTCACAGCCGGGCGTGCGAGGGAGACGGCGAGATTTTCCCCTTAGGTCACTAATTTCTGAAGCCCACCCCTGAAATATAATATATCAATGAAAAATATTATATCATACTATAACCCTATAGTAAGAATGGTCAGGCAGTATATGATTTGGCTAAATGTCATGGTCATCTTTGAACCTAGACTAAGGGGATTTGTCAGATGGGTGAAGGATATCATATTTAACAATGGCTAGTTATCAATATTTGTAATTTCAATTGTGTTTTCAATAGCCAAATCTATGTACATTAATATGGATTTCCTGAGTGCAGATTAGATCTAGTTGTACAATTTACCTAATATGTACTGTAGTGATTGTTATTTGTTTTGTGCATCAATAAAAAAATAAAAAAATATTGTGTTTTGTGTTTTAAAAATATAAGCTCGAATAAAAACTCCTTAATTAAACAATATTATTTGTTCGTGCTGTTTTTTCACATAAACAGTGTTTGGATTTGTATGTAATCTCGTTCGCATAAGGGTTATCCGATTTACTTGAGATTTGATGCAGTTATTGACTTCACACATGTAACGCTTTATGGTACTGTCGCAGCATCGACAGCGTGCGTTTTAAAGCGATTGATGTTGGTTTTAGCAACAAGAGTCAAAAGCGAAGGAAGATGGTAACTCTTCGAAGGCTCGTCGCATGGGGCGTATCGTGAAGCAGTACCAGGAGGCGGTGCGGCTGCACGCGGCTGGCAGGGCGCTGCCCGGGGACGAGCTGCCCACGCCGCCGGGGTACGCGCCCCTACCCGCTGATCCAGTAAGGACAATCTACCCACGATAATTCCCATTTTAGTGTTATAACAGGTGTTGAGCGGTCAACGGTCTTAAAACTTGAATTTTACTGGTGGTAGGACGTCTTGTGAGTCCGCGCGGGTAGGTACCACCAACAGGCCTATTTCTGCCGTGAAGCAGCAATGCGTTTCGGTTTGAAGGGTGGGGCAGTCGTAACTATACTGAGATCTTAGAACTTATATTTCAAGGTGGGTGACGGATTTCGTTGTAGATGTCTATGGGCTAATCACTTAACCCCAGGTGGGCTGTGAGCTCGTCCACCCATCTATGCAATAAAAAAAATATATAACTCTCTCTAATTAGGTCCATTATCCTGGTCACTATCCGAGTGGACTCTTAAAACGCTCCATCTTTATGAATGTGACCGGGGTGTGCCAAATAATAAATTGCGTAATGTGTCGACACGGGACCGCACCCCCTGGACCACGCAAGGGCGATGACCTCATGTCCAGCTGATTTATAAAATAATGTTATGTCGTTGGGGTCGTATTGAAGATTAATCTTTGGGATGACCCCTTCACATTCAGTAAATACTTTATTCGAGAAAAGTTATTTTCTAAAAAAAAATTAATTTAAAAATTATTTATACGTTGTAAACAGGCTGAAGCACCGCGCCCCGCCCCGCCCGCACCTCGCCCGGCGGCCCCCTCCCCCTCCCCTTCTCCGTCCCCCTCCGCTGCCCCGCGCCCCTCGTCCGCCCGCTACGAGAAGCAGCTCGCGTACCTGTTGATGCGCCAGAAACAGTTCAAGGAGGCCGCGTTGAAAGCTAAAAAAGAAGGTAGTTTTATCTATGAATAATTGAAGCCAACTTTTTTTTCATCTTTTTTGTCCAGTGGCTCCTGATACTCCTAATCATCTTGGCATCCGAGTTATATTTTTGTCCGAGTAAATTATATCTATGCAACATTTCATTTTTAAATGTATTTAATGTAAACAAAATAGAGAAATAACGTAATTTTTTATTTTATTTTATTGCAGGTAATATTGAACAAGCAAAAGAGTATTTACGTGCAGCCAAAGGGTTCGATACGGTGATAGACGCCGCGAGAGGCGGCCTGCCGGTCGACCTCAAGTCTTTGCCCCTCCCGCCTAAAGCTAAGGAGAATTTGGAACACACGTGAGTACATAATATAATCTTATATTAAGTGTACACAATAATCAAGGATATCATAGATTCGTTCTAATGATACTAAGTCTTTAGGCATAATTATAGATCAAGCATAGATTGAATCAAAACCGATTATAATAATCGTGTAATAAAAATAAAAACCCACAAAATTATAATTTGCGTAATTATTGGTGGTAGAATCTCTTGCGAGTCCGCGCGGGTAGGTACCACCGCTCTGCCTATTTCTGCCGTGAAGCAGTAATGCGTTTCGGTTTGAAGGGTGGGGCAGCCGTTGTAACTATACTGAGATCTTAGAACTTATATCTCTGTAGATGTCTATGGGCTCCGGTAACCACTTAACACCAGCCCACCTGGTGGTTAGCTTGTTTACATGTCTAAGCAATAAAAAATATATAATAAATAATACACCCTGTATATATGTTTCCATACGTCACTCTCAACTATGGCTAGATCGTAAATCTTCTATTGCGTTATTGAAATTCAAATCTAAACTCGTAAGCAATAAGGTCGAGTATCGAATGTGCGGTGACAGCTCCGTACTTTGGCCCCCCAGTTTCGACATAGTGTCGAGTGAGGACTGCGGCCCGTCGGACGAGGTGCCCACCGTGCGCGGCGAGGACGGCGACGTGTGGGCGCGCCTGCAGCAGCAGCTAGGCTCGCAGCTGCAGCTGTGCCAGCGGAACCGGGACCACTGCAGCGCCACCGGACACATCGCGGAGGCGAACAGGTTCGAGCACCTCGCCGTTACGGTCGCGCAGGACTTGGATGTCGTGGCGGTCGCCAAAAGGTAATTGTCTTACATGCTTCGGCCGCGAAGTCACGCACTAGGAAAAGTTTGGATCGTTAGCTCGTTTGAGGCGGGCGTGATGTTGGAAGGTGGTAGTCCGCCATTTGACTTGTAATATTGTAGATGTTTGCTAAAAGGACCATGACCAATTAAGTCAACGACCATACGTAATTTTGTATTGCGATATTTATACATATAAATAAAATTGGAGTGTCTGTTTGTAATATTGAAATAGCCTCTTTTTACTACGTACATATGAATGTATATACGGTACGTACACCAAAATAATTTTATACAATTTTTGTCTGTCTCTCTCTTTGTTCCGGCTAATCTCTGGAACGGCTGAACCGATTTTGACGGGATTTTCACTGATAAGTAGCTGATGATATAAGGAGTAACTTAGGCTACTTTTTTTAGACTAGCTTCGCCCCGAGGCTTCACCCGCGGTACGACAATAACCGCGGGTAGCATCGCGGGACTCAGCTATCAATAATAAAATTTAATGTTTCCGAAGCGAGGCGAGGGCGGATCGCTAGTAACAAATATGACCAGATCCGACAGTGGTACTGTGTCGCTCTTCTCCTTCTAATCGTTTATAAAAGTATTTGTGTAATAAATTGCTGTGTGTGTGAAATTGGACATAGTCATTCTGGTAACGGACCCAAAGCCGTTATTGCCTGGACCAAGACTTACGCAGCAGACCCCATAGTACTATAAAGCCCAATGGTATATTTGGATGGTGTATTTTGGTATTCCAGTCTGGGCCGCGGTCCGCCGAAGTTCCACTACGAGTCCCGGCAGTTCGCGGTGGCGCAGTGCAACACGGACCTCAACGAGAACGAGCTGCAGCTGACCGTGGTCCGCGGCATCGCGTACAACGTCGCCAACCCGCAAGACGTCGACACTTATGTCAAATTCGAATTCCCCTACCCCCCGGTACGGCCATACGTAATTATGCACACGACCCGCCTAGGAGCAAGCTATCGTTGCCCGCGGACTTATAGGACACGCCGTAGGGAAATGTTAAAGAGGCAATGAAGGAACTTTATTGCTTATATATGGAGCTCACGGCCCGCTGTTAAGTGGTTACCGGAGTCCATAGACATCTACAACGTAAATGCGCCACCCCATAGCTACAACAGCTGCCCCACCCTTCAAACCGAAACGCATTACTGCTTCACGGCAGAAACAGGCAGGGTGGTAGTACCTATCCATGCCGACTCTCAAGTGGACCTGTGGCGACTCACTTACTCGCCACTACTTGGGCAACCGCCTTACAATTCAACAAAATCGCTGTCGCCTATGAATTCAGGCAATCATCTATTTTTGTTGTTTAACACTTCGGAATCTTAAGAAACTGCGGGCAGTACACATCGACATTCGCTGTGCTACCTATCGTTCGTGTCAGTGCTTTACTACTCCTATATGTTATTTCTTTATCGTGCCACTCCTGTCATAGTTTGTTTGTGAATATTGCTATCTTCAATAAACTATTCAAAGCAGTACATATTAATACTCACTGTGTAAACCATCCTTCGTGTCAGCGCCTACCTANGTCAGTGCTTTACTACTCCTATATGTTATTTCTTTATCGTGCCACTCCTGTCATAGTTTGTTTGTGAATATTGCTATCTTCAATAAACTATTCAAAGCAGTACATATTAATACTCACTGTGTAAACCATCCTTCGTGTCAGCGCCTACCTAATACAGTTAGAAGTAGAACAAATACTACAACTACTTCTACAGTGGTACCATCTACAGTGGTGACCCCGACGTGAGTACCGATTGTAAGGCGGTTGCCCAAGTAGTGGCGAGTAAGTGAGTCGCCACAGACCTACCACCAGTAAAATGAAAATATTATTACATGTAATCGCTTAATAAGTCCGTGTGTGCTACAGGAGGCGCCGGCGACGGACTGCACGGCGGTGGTGAAGGACACGAACAGCCCGGACTACGGCGCGGTGTTCTCGCTGCCCATCCAGCGCGCCGCCCGCACCTGCCAGCGCGCCTTCAAGCGGCACGCGCTCAAGCTGCACGTGTACTCCAGAGGGTGAGTGACCTCCCCCCCCCCCAACCCCCCACACAACAGTGGACGGCTTACATTCGAACCGAACCAAACGTCCAAATTATCTAGTGCACGCTTTCGCTACGTTGTTATGCTTTGAATTGAAATATGACGTCACACAGTCCGTACTCACTAAAGATCTTTTCTACCACGTACCATGCGGCTTTGAAATCCCCTCCACGGTGTTTCCCGGGCGCTATGACATGTCCTTCTTCAAACGAGACTTGCAGAAAGTACTAAACGGTAGGTAGCAGGTTGGCTCTGCCCTTGACATTACTGACGTCCTTGAGTGACGGTAACTACTTACCATCAGGTAGGCCGCATGCGCGTCTTACTGCAAAGGTAATAAAAAATATACCACCTACGAGACATCCCTAGTTATTGAGTAGTTAAACCATCGCGTCTCAGTCATTCATCATTCATTCGCACAAATTATAAACTGTTTTCGTTCATTCACTTGTTGGTCTTTATTAGTACAACACACTGTAGTATAGTAATCGGCAAACTTCTTGAGCAAATGACCTTGACTGCGCAGAACCGAATTTTAGATCACTTTGGTGGTGAGGGTGAGGCGCGACGGCAGGGGAAATCGTATCGAGCGCGTTATTGGTAGATCAGTCGAACCTTGCGTCCCGCACCGCGCCCTCGTTCCGTTTGCTCCCAAAAGTACGCTTGCGTACAGTGGAAAGTCTATCGTTATTAATCGTTAAGTTATTTGTTATAATTGCTTGTGGACTTTGTTGCCATTGCTATTTGTTGAGTGTTTGTTGATTTTTTATAAAACATACACTATGCCGTGACAAACTGGTGTAGTACTTAAAAGAAAGGGTAGAAAATTTGTGTACGACGTATATTGCTTCATTATAAAACAGGGGAAGAATGATATGGAAAAATTAAAACAGACTTCGGAAGCAACAAAAACATCAGTGAGTACTGTTAGGTGCATTATTAACGAAGCTAAAGGCTCTGGCTTGCTCGCAGTGTTTCGGACTCCGGGTAAGAAAAGATCAGGGAAGAAGAAAGTTACCGGAATGGATAGTTTCGTTCAATCTGTAATAAAAAGATGTAATCATAATAACTACATAACAAGCAGCGAAACTCCGTACCGTAGAAAGGCTTCGAAGAATTTACAGAAGATATAAATTTTAATGGCTCGGAATGAAGCTTACGACGAATTATGAAAGAGCTAGGCTTCAGATGGAAAAAAAGAACAGAAAATAATCGGAAGCTGGTAAATGAAAAAAGTAACATTCGATTACTACGAATCGAATATCTTCAAAAAATAATTAATTATAGACAAAAAAGAAGACCGAACCGACCAAGTTGTAAACTACACCGATGAGCCCTATGTCGACTCATCACGATGATAGCGACTCGGGTGATGAAAACAGTGATGATGATGATGGTCAAGATTATGATAACGAAAAAAAAATTACAAATACCAGCTTCGCTTTAACTGAACCAAGACCTGGCAACAGCTTTAGTTTTGACTTAATAGAAGGAATATCTATTTTACCCCAAGATTAAATTATTACATTATTAACCTATATGTTTTGTTGATGTTCTAATAAATATATAAATAAATACATATGTTGATTTTAATAATTTAATAGCATTATGACGCAGAGTAAGTAATGTTTTTGCACGTGAGTGTACCATGCGCAAACTTACCCCCACTACGTCAACAAATGCTCAAGAAGTTTGCCGGTTATTATAACATTTCTTTATTCTGTAAAGCACTTTTTGAAAAAAAAAAACGTTTCTAAATCAATTCTTGATTGTAATTATTGGTTCTATTAATAACTTTCTGTAGAACAATTGTATCGAGGTTCATAAAGAATTATACTTTATTGAAATCACTGATAACCAACCACATATCTCTTCTAAACTTTTTCTATTTAAATCACTCTTTTTAAGATTGGTTTTGTTCCATAACAACACTAACTAAACAAAAGCTTGTTTGCAATTCAATAATGGATTCATGCTCATTATCATTATTCTATGTTTTGTAGCTTTTTAGAAGTTTTTTTTTAAATAATTAAATGGGTTAAAATCATTGGACAGTATCATAATATAACAATATGAAGAAATTTTCCAAAAAAGATAATGTGCAATAAATATTTTGTCTTCCCCTTCACTATTGTAGTTAATCATCATTGCTTTTGGTTTTTTTTTTAATTGCTTGGGAGTTTTCTTTTTCTGTTTTTGAATTAACCACGGCACGTCCGTCGTAAAAGGAATACCTAGAACCCGGAACAACAGCGTTTTTAGACAAATAGTCGCCCCTAAGCAAGCGTTTGTAATTGTTCACAAATGTCCCTTAATAAAGAACTCGGGACGATGTTGCCCGGAAGGTAGTCAAGAAATTTCAATTTGTGGTTTATTGTTATTTTGGTTTGGTTAATTTGGCTCGTGCGGTCGAGTGTTTGTCGTAAGCGTGTGTTGTACCGGCGGGTGTCGGCGCGCGGCAGCCTGTCGGACTCGTGCGGTTGTTGCAGCGGCTGGTTCTCGCGGGACGCGCTGCTCGGGACCGTGGTCGTCCGCCTCGCGCCGCTGGAGACGCACGTCACCCTGCACGAGGCCTTCCCGGTGAGTCACATAGGAGTCAGACCTCCCACGAGGTTCCCCCGTCTGGGGGGCGCGTGGGGTATATGGAACTCGGTGGCCGAAACAAATTTTTTTTAATTTTTTTGTTACTTAGACGGGTCGACGAACTCACAGCCCACTTGGTGTTTACTGGAGCCCATAGACATCTACAACGTAAATGCGCCATCCACCTTGAGATATAAGTTCTGAAGGCTCAAGTATAGTTACAACGGTTGCCCCACCCTTCAAAACCGAAACGCATTATTGCTTCATGGCAGAAATAAGCAGGGCGGTGGTACCTACCCGAGCGGACTCACACGCCAGTAAAATCATCTTGTCTGTTTTTTCCCCTACCTAATCATTGATATTCTAAGGGGCTATTCCAACTGCACGTCAACCGATAGGTAAACTCACGGGCTCAAGTTGAGAGAATTGCTAACACTAGCCCTAGCAAGAGTAGTGCTATGTTGAATGCACTATGGGATCGGAAATGTGACCCACTAAGAAGATCCAGCGCGAAACTCAGTAGGCTCACCTTGTCTGTCCTCCTCCTTGCGTCGATAATCCTCAATACTGATGGTCGTAACAACTTCCTCCTGGATTATCCTGCGCCACTCCTGCCTATCCTCGGCTGTGTGGATAGCAACGTGGACTGAAGTGTTGAGAGTAGAGCGTATCTAGTCCGACCAGCGCATTGGACTTGTGTGTATTAGTTGTACAATACAGTTAGCACTTTGATGTCATCTTTCAAGGCGGGTGATCATTCAATACCCGGTTTTAGAAGAGGTCTTTCAATGTATTTTCACTGGTGGTAGGACCTCTTGGGAGTCCGCACGGGTAGGTACCACCACCCCCCCTATTTCCGCCGTGAAGCAGCAATGCGTTTCGGTTCGAAGGGTGGGGCAGTCGTTGTAACTATACTGAGACCTTATAACTTATATCTCGAGGTGGGTGGCGCATTTACGTTGTATGTAGATGTCTATGGGCTCCAGTAACCACTTAACACCAGGTGGGCTGTGAGTTCGTCCATTCATCTAAGCAATAAAAAAAAAATTATAATTCCGGTGATCGTGACAATTGATTATTCTCAAATGATGATATTTGTAGCTGATGGACGGGCGCCGTCCTGCCGGTGGCTCGCTCGAGGTCAAACTGAGGGTCCGGACTCCGATCCTGCACCAGCAGATCGAAAACACGACGCATCGGTGGCTCGTCATCGATAACTAAATATTAGTTAATAGGTTTATGCTGAAACTTGTAAATGCTGACGTCATTGTTCTAGACGGCAATCGTCGTGAAAACTTTGTATATTAATCGATAATCAGAATCGCATATTTGAACTTCGAATCATTCTTCGAAACATCATGTCTACATTAAATTATTAAGAAAAAAAAATACAAAAAAGTTATACCGATTATTGTCAATCGACGAATGTTTAATATTGTTGCGATATACGCTTAAATAGGACTGGCACATAGAATCTGCAGCTTCGAGAAAACGATCTTAGCGATACATTGCGGGCTTACGATAAACGAATTTGCTACAATAATAGCTATTTACACAGCTTATAGGGAGGAACCAGAATCTGTTGCCCTAACGTGAGAATTGATAACGATGATCATCTGTAAAGAGATCACTGTGGATGTGTCAGCTGTTTGTGATTGTCTTACATTGCGGGTACCATAGAAAGCATAGGTACTCTATATATGAGTCGTCTATTATCAAAGGTGGCAATCTGTGCATTGAGCAAAACATGAAGCAAAAACTTTGTACTTCCGTAAAAAGGGGTTACGAAAATGGCGCGGACGGAGGAGTATGAAATTTCCCACACTTATAGAGAATACAGAGAGGGAGTGCAGAATGTTAATCATTTTTTTTAAATTATGCATTATAAACATATTAAATCAATATAATGTACAACATGTATTTGACACAACACATATCTATTTACTCTTTGTTTATTGTCAAACTTTTGTTATTGCTTAAAGTCTGTGGTCAAGTTGAGAATAGATTAATATTGTTTGTCGAAATCTGTGGTTATAGAAGTATAGTCTTTGACAATAGAACTGTAATAATGTTCAAACTTATAATTTATATTAATAATTATGGTCAAATTTCGACCGCTGGGCGACCACTAGAGTATTAATGTGTCAAGAGAGATCGCCATCTGTCTTCATTAATACTTTGTTTACACTCCTTATTTATCGTACAACAATTAGTACATATTCACCAAACTTAGCTACAATACGATGCGCCCTAATAATAAATTAACCTAGAAGGGTCAGTTAAACATTAAGCTGATATTTTGTCGGAAGATTTTAATCGTTTTGGTTGTTGAGTTTATGTGTACCTTTAATAGTGAAGATTAAAAGAAAAAAAACTTGACGTTTGCGATCTATAAACGTCAAAGTCATAGAGATCGCAATAAATCTAATCTGTGCAATAAATACAGATAATACATACGCATAATATTTAATAATAAATATTAATATTATATTTTCAATATAATATACAGGTTTTTCCCTCGCATGGACTTCATCTTCTCTTAAGTATTTGTCACTGTTAGTTTTGACCTAGCACCGTCAAATATTATTTTCTTAATGGCGACGACTACGAAAACTAAAGTATTGGTAATGCAAGAAATATGTAATATAATAATAATTTTGTCCAAACTATGTGTTACAATGTATATATACGAACCGTCCTTGTTATTAGCTCTTTTTATTAGTGAAGCCCGTAACGAAATTTATACTAATTGAAACAGCTTCAATATATCAAAGTTTGAGGGACTCTGGAAAAAGGGAGTTACCCGAGAACTGTGGGGGATTCACCTAAAACTAAAAAAAGGTTTGCGCACCTCTGACCCAAATAGTTAAGTACATATTTGTGAAATAATATATTATGTATTATGATATTATATATTTTATATTTAGGGTTTTTGTTACAATTACGTGTAATATCTAAATGTAAGGAAAAGACGAAAATTTTGTATTTAACGGTAATATTATTCCAATTTTATTAGTGTTAAAGTGGAAATAAATAATATTTTTTATGTAAATAAGTGTAATCCTTGAATATTAAATATGTACAAATGTGATAGTAACGCATCGCGTTATGATACTATGAACAAATACAGAATAATATATTTTGATTGATGTTAACAGTTTTCAAAGATTATTCCTTTATAATATAAGATTATTCATTACTGGTGGTAGGACCTCTTGTGAGTCCGCACGGGTAGGTACCACCACCCTCCCTAATTCTGCCGTGAAGCAGTAATGCGTTTTGGTTTGAAGGGCGGGGCAGCCGTTGTAAGCCGTCTCAAGGTGGGTGGTGGCATTTAAGTTGTAGATGTCTATGGACTCCGGTAGACACGTGTTAGACACGTGAACGTGGAGTCTAAATTGTATAGTATAACGGCTGCCCCACCTTTCCAACCAGGCATTTATATAAGTGACTGGCAACCACATACCGAAAGACGTAACCTGTTGAAGGTCGCGGGAAGCCGCTGGATGCGGATGACGCTGTACCGATCGTTGTGAAAAGTGGACGCCTATGCTGATAGTGTTACATCGTCGTCATCATAGTTGGCAGAACAGTTGTGGTCATGTAGAATCCTTGTTTACTGAGAGCCTTTTTATTTTATTTTTATTGCCCTTGTAGGCAGACGAGCATACGGCCCACCTCATGGTGAGTGGTTACCGTCGCCCATGGACTTCAGCAATGCCAAGGGCAGAGCCAAGCCGCTGCCTACCGTAAATGCCTTGAGAGATGTTCTCCATAGTTCGCCAACTTTTTTTATATATATTTACGAACAATCACGCCACGTTAACTGGTCCCGTGCTAAGTTCGTAAAGAACTTGTGTTACAAGTACCAGATAACGGAAATAAATATAATATTTTTATTATACACATACATATATTTAATATACACCCATAACCCTGGAAAGACATTTATATTTATCATACAAATATCTTCCCTTGGCGGGATTTGAACCCGCGACCCCTTTGTGTAGTGACCATGTCACTTACCACTACACCAGACGGCCGTTGAGGCTTAGAACACGCACTCGTTAAGTGGTATATAGTATAAAAGTATTTTCCGTTAAACATTTACATCCCGAAGTGTATATAGTGGAGCCATATTGTATATTTTTAATTACTGTTACCCTACAAATGGTCGCATAGACATATTTATTTATGATCAAATGAAATACGAATTAGACTACCGGGTATCTTTGATTTGAATGTGTGGCGAAACATTTGGTTTCGTAACACGCATGCGCGACCGTAGAAATCTAGGAGGCCATGATCCCCGGGTCTTTAACAAAAAGTATTGTACATTATTACATAAAATAAATATTTTATTATTTTTATTTAGATTCGCTTTTATTTAGGCGTCCTAAAAATGTAAATAGTGCGCGGTCTTCGCTCAGGCCCCGTGGCTCGGTACCAGCTGCGTATTTGTGGCGACACACCGACACATTTTCAGGTTTATACCTACCATGTGTAGTTTCAACGGAATTGATTGACGCTGTGTCGTATCTAACTGTGTGCTTATTGCTAGTTTTTTAACTTCTCGATCGCGTAAATGTTAATTCAGATTTGTATGGAGTTAGAACCGCGCCCCTAATGGCAAACGAAGGAAAGCTGTTCCGACTCCATACAAATTTGACTTAACTTTTACGTTATCGAGAACGTTAAAAAACTCGCACTAAGCACACTGATCCTCCTTGAATAATCCGACATACTTCGTGCTAGCGAATACAGTTCTCGAACGTTCCACGACCTGCTCATCATTACATATCTGTTAGAATAGCTGACTGCGGACGAGAAAATACGAATGAATCATAGTAAGTCGGACGCTTCGACTGGATTCTAGAAACGTTTTTTTAGAAGTGCCTTGCTTTATTATACGCGGTTATTACGCATAATCTGTAATATGTAAATGTTACGAAGATATGTAAATAAGATTATTTACTTTAGAATAGATAAATTTCGACCACTAAATTGTGCATATAAATGTGGTTCTTAAATAAAGTGCTTTTTATCTATAAGCGTGCTGCTGGTAGGACCTCTTGAGAGTCCGCGCGGGTAGGTACCACCACCCTGCCTATTTCTGCTGTGAAACAGTAATGCGTTTCGGTTTGAAGGGCAGGGCAGCCGCTGTAACTATACTTGAGACCTTAGCACTTATATCTCAAGGTGGGTGGCGCATTTACGTTGTAGATGTCTATGGGCTCCAGTAACCACTTAACACCAGTGGGCTGTGAGCTCGTCCACCCATCTAAGCAATAAAAAAAATGAAACAAAAAAAAAGCGTTTAAGGTAACTATTATATTTAATGTTCCGCAGCTACCTACACATCACACGCTACTATTTTACATGTTTTTAACACGATTTCCCAATATATCGGCTTTTGTCCCTATTAAATCGTTGGTAGCTTAAGAGGCTTATCCAGCTACGTCCGGACAGGTAGGTGAGCTCACGGGCTCAGTGTGTTAGTGCGAGTTTCTTGATGTTCTCGATAACGTAAAAGTTAAGCCAATTTTGTATGCAGTTGGAACAGCGACCCTAGCGGCAAACGTACGCAAACGATCCCATTCCATACAAATATGAGCTAACTTTTACGCTATCGAAAACGTTAAAAAACTCGCACTAAGCACACTGAGAGAATTTGCTAACACTAGCTCTAGTAAGAGTGTTTCGCTGAATCTACTACCGGATCGGAATTGCAATCCACAGAAGATCCGACGAGAAACTCTGGGCTGTGTCTATGGGCTAAATTGCACGTCGAACTCTTCAGTAGGCTTAGTGCGAGTTTCAAAAATCGAATCGAATGACTCGCATCGAATGTACGCTCTTCACGGTGAAACGTGCGGAGCTCTGAGTGCGAGTTACTTGATTTGCAGGACGTTTATTCATCTTGAGAAGCGATATTTTTTCTTTTATATTGGTAGCACGCAAGGTTTTTTTTTAAGGCGTTTAATTGAAATGCCAAGCTTTCTAACGATATTTATAATTAGTCGGGTAATGGGTAATGTACCTGTGCTTAGTGCGAGTTTTTTTAATTACTCAATCGATGTTAATGTTATGTTTAATTTGTGTGAGGTTGTATCAGTGCCACCTAGTGGTTAGCTTATGAATCTCATTTTGTGGGAGAGAGAAGGTTTGTTTATGTTGCTGTCTCATGTATCGAATAGCTTTACCGAAGTGAGCCTCTCGATTATTGTATGTGCGAGTGCGAGTTGCAAATTAATGGATTTTGAGAGTATTTCTTCACTATCAAGCAAGTTAAGTAGTCACTAAAAATTTTGCCGTGAAACCAATACAATATCAAGATTTTTTATTCGTTTTTAATAATAATGTGGTTTTTTAAGGTTTTATCTATTCTAATGGTTTATACACATATATATTTTCGGTTAGAAAATTTTATAGACGTCTAGCTAGTTGTAAATACATATTAATTCTTTGCTTTTTCAATTAATTCTTATTAAATCATTGCTTTTTTTTAAAGAGTTGTTTGATGAGAGAGAGAGAGAGAGTGAGATAGAGTATTCTTTATTGTACACAAATTGAATAAATATTGCGAAACAATATTAATAAAAAAAGAGTACAATTCTTGGTCTTATCGCTAAGAGTGATCTCTTCCAGACAACTATTAGATGGGCAAGAAGAATTTCGAAATGAATTGCACACTGTGTACCTATCTATTGAAATATATACACACACCCACACGCACACACGCGAACACACACACACAGACACACACATACATATTTACACATATATACGTACAGATGTATATTTATAAATTACTATATAGAAATTTGAACAATGTAATAATAATTTTGCTTCTTTTCACATTTATAAATAAGGATGGATGCTTGTAATAATTTTAGTATATTTGGGCCACCTAATGAAGATCATCAACACTATTATCGTAAATACAATCATTTTATAAACGTTCAACGGGTAAATGATTAAACCTATATATAAAACATAATTTCTTTAATAAAAAAAAAGCTGAAATAATTACCTATTCCAAGATTAATTATGTTAAGTATGTCTAAATATGTAATTACAATTAAATAAATTCTATAATAAACTTCTAATTCTAATACTTCTAAAAGTTACTAAAAAAATATGTTTATGCTGGGCAGTTTTCGTGTATTTTAAAGGTTACGCCATTACGGCAAAGTTTTTTTTACGAAATAGCACCCTTAGAATGGAAGTGGTATAACTAAAAAATTTAAGATTAGTTTTATATTTCAAAACACTTATGTATAATTATTAAGAACCTACATTTTAACTAATACGTGAAGCAAAAATGTTGTACCCCTTTTTACGAAAACTGCGCGGACGGAGAAGTATGAAATTTCCCACACTTATAGAGAATATAGAGAAGTAGTGCAGATTGCTATTTTTTTTTTAATTGTGCATAAACAATAAAAAAATAAACTAAATCAATAAAAAAACCTTACACACATTACCATGTATTTGACACACACACACACATACATTCATACTTTTTTTGTTTATTGATTTATCAATCTGTGGTCAAATTGAGAATAAATTAATATTTTTTGTCTTTAATATTATTTTTCTTTAATGTAGCCTTGGCGACATAGAGCAATGATTATTATAGAAATGATGATAATAGAAAGGTGACAATTGAACTATAATAATGTTTACACTTAAAATTTAAATAAATGATGGTCTAATTTCGACCACTGGACTACCATTAGTAGATAATAATAAAATCATTTATTATTGCCTTTCACACAGATTTAGATTATTACTGGCAGCCTACAAAGAAAACAACAAAAAAACAAAGCACTATTATATCATTTCTGGCAAGCAGCTCAACATTTGCACTTGTATATTATTAATAGGAATTTTATTAAGAATATTGACAATTTATGAGGATTTTGACAAGTACGGATTAGTTATAGATATAGTTACATATTGTAAATTAAGTTAGTTTTATAAGTGCAATAAAAAATAATTTAAATGATAAAATGATAAAGCCATACCTTTTTCCAATGTGACGATTAGAGGGTATCCTATTATTCTTTTCTATATTATTCTATCAGCTTATAAAATTAAACAGTCTCTTTTAGTCTAGAAAAGGACAAAGTACTCTTTCTGCCTTTTTCANTATTTGAATGAAGTTTGATAATAGAACAAATTGAGAGATTTAATAAATGGAAATCTGTACTAAGTGCAGAATCTCAGGAAAACAGTGAAAAATATATGTATAACAACATTCGCCTTTGCAACAGACATTTTGAAAAGTGCTTCATACTACCATCAAATAGACTTATAACAATATTAATTTATTTGTTTGTAAATATTTCAGACCTAAATTATGCAGCTCACATCGAAATTGATCAACCACAGTTGTTGAGTGGAATTGTGCTGACTTCAAGTATGAATAATATGACAAAAATTGAAAGTGTATCATACAGAAGTAGGTGCCAATATCTGTCTTTTTTAATAAACTACTCTAATACTGAACATAAAACTATTCATGACTAAAACCCATATTTGAATAGTTTGTCAAGTATATTTGATTTTGAATTATACTTTTCTTTTCAGAATTTTAGAGGAGCTCAAATTATAATTTGTCAAATTATTTGATTCATTTAATGGTCATTCTTATCAAAATTCTCCAAAACAATACAAAAACTGCTTAAAAAGAAATTCTCCTCATTTTAATTTATGGCATGATTTACTGCCTATATTAGAGTCTATTAAATTCAAATCAGTTGTTATAAAAAATAATGTAGTAAATATTAAACAAAAATCAATTCTTTCAATCCAAAACTGGATCCATAACATCAAAGTATTTAAAGAATTGTGGCATTTTTTAAATCAATACCACAATATCTGCAATTTACTAACTAGAAATTTGAATCAAGATCCATTGGAGAATTTCTTTAGTAGTAATAGAAGTAACGGTTTTAGAAATATTAATCCTAATTGTAGTCAATTTATTAGTGCTTTTAAAACATTGCTCATTAATAATTTTGGTTCACCTCATTCCCTAGGAGCGAATTGTGAGAAAGACAACACTAATCCAATGAAAATCTTTACAAAGTTTTTCAATCAGAAGTCTAATGACATTCTCAAAATAGATTATTCTATTGATACTGAGCAATTGATATTAGTGGTGAGTCAATTAAAAAGTAGCGATTGTTTGATTTATGCTGAATTAAAGAAATATGTATCAGGATATATTATAAAAAAATGTTAATCAAAGATTTTTACTGGATGTACTGCCTGCATGCATGATTTAGCTGAAAACAATTTAGACATTAATTATTTTATCTATGAGATTATATTATTATTATAACAAAAAATATAGAAAATAAATGATTTTGTTAAATTAACTTGGTTAGTATAATTATAAATCATTTTGATTTCTTGGTGGTAAAATAGAATATTTTTACTATACAAGAATACTGCAACTACTGACTGTAATATAAATGGTTGAGGTAGGGCATATTGTAAAGTTATACCGATGTGTATCACCATCTTGCTTATTTCTGTCGGGAAGCAGTCATGGTTTCCTATTTAAATAAAATACAGCACAATTGATCTCACATCCGAAGTTAGATGATGGCATTCACGTTTTGTTTTCTGGTGTTTGATAACCTAGTTACACCAAGTGGCCTGTGACCACGTTCATCCTTCTACCATATATATATATAAATTTTTTTGTAGACAAATGTTCGATAATGACAAAATTTTATGGAAAAATTATAAGGAGCACATAAAATGTCTGAAACATGAAAATTAAGATTGATGCACTATATTGGAAGCAGAAGGTTATGTAAGTATGATTAGATTAACACTCAATTTTTCATGGTCGTATTTTTTCAATATTTGTTACATACTTAAGATACTTTGTTTCTCCTTTTCAGAAGAAGAACTGATTCAGCAAGGAATGTGAACTCACAAGGGATCTTAATTTTTTTTTAAATATGTTTATAATTTATAAATTAATAATTGAAATAGTTCATATGAACTAAATTGATACCAATTTTGTTTTAAGATAGGTTGTTTAGTTCTTATAGTTATATTATATTAGTTGTTGTAATTAGTAAGTTAGTAATATATGAAAACACTGATATAAATTTTTGTAAATAACCTTTTGTAAATTCTATGAGAAGATGATTTTAATTAATGGTAATTCAAAAGTATTATTGTGGAATATATTAGCTAAGTCGTGTTTTCTGTATGAGCAGATATAAACGAAAATGCCCAAACATGATTACGTTTCTTACATTTTCATTCTGTGAAATCAATATGCCTGTGACTGAGTATATTAAAAATTTATTAAAACTTAAGTGATAGACAGCGACCCCTATGGCACCGCTAAAGTTTATAAGCACTGGTGACCACTTATCACGAGCCGGGCTGCGTACTCGTCTGCCGTTGAGGGTAATAAAAATTTTCGAAACCCTTTCTTAGATGTAATATTAATGTACATTTAATTTGGATTAAAAGATAAATTTACATTTTACGTTTGCATGTGTATGTTTATAATTCATTTGCATGTAACGAACATCAGTTTCTTTTGTAACAAAATTCAAACTAATGGTTTGCAATGAATGTAATTAACTTTAAGATGATTTTCTTTCAATCTGCTGTTTGTTTCATCTAGTATTACCAAAGCTAAAGCGTCAGAAACGTCAGAATAGAAATAAATTAGAAGGGAAATAAAACTATAACTATTGTAATCATGTCTAGGATTTCTATAAGCGTCATTAAGTACAAACTATCAATATTTAAGAGTACTTTAAATCATCCAGAATCATCCAGATTTTTCCACATTTTTTTTTTTTTCAAATTATGTATAAAACGTTTTGTGCAGAACAAAATGTCACATATTATGAACAATTGTGGGTTAATCGTTTCTTAAATTTCTAAATGTTTATAAGAATGCTAAGAATAATTTAGTATTCACTTTAGTGTGTGTATTATCTCTACAATGCTAGTATAAATGACAATTATTGTATGACGAAGCATAGGTAGTGTTTATAGATGTAATATTTTCATACAAGGTCATGATCTGTCATGATCAACTTTAAGCAAGAACTGCTATCATTGTGAAACAAATTTATTAAATTTAATTCAAATTGTCTACTATGTTTGTAATGGAAAGCTGACATGTTTATATTTCGCACGAATGACTTAATTG